TTTTAGGTGTATTTTCTACTTTTTGAGTTTACAAAGTAGAACTATTAATAAAGTGAGTCATGTTTTGAATTTCAAATTTTAAGGTTTTCCTGAGATTTGCACACAACTAACTCAGGTTTATGAGATATTTATCAAATCTCAAAACACTTCACAACCATTGAATTATGTTTCGAGATTCCTATGATCTAATTACAAAAACAACAGAAGAAATTAAGGATGAAAGGTCCTTTGTCAATTAATCCTTACCTTTGATAGGGATGTAATCCTATGTTTGATCCGTTAAAATGACTAGTCACTTTTGTATGATTCATTGAACCAGCAACAGACACACGTATATGACAACTTGCTCTTATACAAACCAACAGATTCATTGTTAGAGATAGATACAAAGCCTATTCAAATGTGTAGACAAAATTAGCCTAAAAATCCAAAAAATATTCAAAGTGTAGACAAAATTCAGCCTAAAAATCCCATGCCAGCATTTTCTAATGCATGGAAATTATACACACACACACACACATACACACACACACACACACATATATATATATATATATTGGAGTATAAATTGTCATTTAAATCGTCTAATTTAACTTAGCCAATGAAATCCCATGATAATTACAATTATAATAACAAATAATTAAAAAAAATTAAGAAAAAAGAAGAAAGGAGCTTGAGACCTAATCAATTTACAAGATTTCAATTGATTGAATTTCAACCTCTCTTATGATAATATTAAAAGTAATGTCAATTGATCTACAAGTCATCATCATTTACATCATCAATTAATTGAATCTGATAAAAAAATTGATGGACAATTGGAGATGCACAACCAAGAGAGACAAAACTGATAAAATTATAGAGCATTATGAGAAAATCCTAATGAATCTAACCTCTGAGAGAAACAAAGAACTCCGAATATTATTGCCTAGAGTTGGAAACTAACCTGCTCAATATGTCCTTGAGGAAAATAGAACACGCGTTCGCCTTCACGAGGCACTGTCACAAGCGAACCGGCACAAGCTCGCGATAGCTCCATGTAAAGCGCTGTTACAGATTCTTCTTGAGACAGATTGCATTACAGAGAAGTACATAACTCGGATCATTACAGAGAGAGTTGAATCGATGAAGATGTGTTTAGGCTTACCGATTATAAAATCTTCAACAGTTGTAGACTCGAGAGAGTTGAATTGATCGACAGATTCGAGGGAGAGAGGCAGTGAGATTCAAGCGAGAGATAGATTTTGGGAGGGAGAGAAAGAGAGAGTTCAGATTTGGGAAATAACAAAAAAAAAAAGGGATTGAGTGGGAGAAAAAAAAGAGAGTCAAGTTTAACTGATTTGGGTTTTTTTTTTTTTTAAGTTAATAACACGATTGGCTCAAGAAAATGAGATTGTAAAATTAGATTTTGATGTTAAAAATGATTTTTTGCGATGGTTAAATAATCAGTCGCAAAAAGTCATACTTCTAGTAATGTATATACGTATAATGTGCACACAACATGAACAAACTAACCCAGACATGGGAACCCAACTGTTAAAATACCACAACAACAACACAAACGCAAGCACCGACACACTAACATTGCATTTAATCAACATGGACACCAACAATGTTACACCCCAACTGAAAAGAATGTCACTGCAATCACACATCACCTACAAACTATATACACTAAAAACCATGGAATTCCTAGCCACATTCGAATAGAACAACACAACCAACGAGGAACATACATCAATAACTTCACATAATACTTACAAACACACCATCGCACAAACACATAATAACCCAAACAACAAAATAATTTCATTTTAAGGCTTGTTACACTAGCAAAACTAATACCCCCAAAATTGAAGGACACAACACAACATTAACCCCAACCAATTCCAAATCCACATTACCTACTTACACATAACAACAATACAGACGTTTAACTAACATTATGTAAGCACCATTAATGCCAAACCCAATCTACAACATTACTCATACAACTCAAAACATCAAACAAAGCGAATAAAACAACGTCATGAACACATACCTTCCGCCATGGGTTTGGAACACAGTCATCGACTAATGTGAAAGGCAATGTCAACTGTAACGGAAAATCAACTTTGTGACAGACCCTAATTGGCACCAGAAATGCACGTACAAGAAGGGGGTTTTGTGTTTCTAGGGTTCGGGATGAAATACCAATGTTAAATTGGGCAATATAGACTGCGAAATTAACGTTACCAAAATAGAATAATGCAACAATGGAACAAACATCGTGGAATCAACATTGGAATACCAAAACCTTCCGTCTTCATCTTTTCCGATTTGATTGGGAAGGAGGAATACCCAAAAAAAAACCTATAGAAAGCTTTTTGGACAAATTTGTAAATTCCACATTACACAAACCCACATATACCCCTAATATTGGGGAGCTTCTATATACACACACCCTTTTCACTCTATACAAATCCTTCTCAATACACACACTAAAAATAAATCCTAATATATTTGACTCACTACACACACCTATCATTCCACACATACCCCCAAATGTAAATCATACACACACACACCCCCTCTCACACACACACACCCGTGACAGACCCCTCTCACACACACACCCATCTGAGAACCCCTTTCACACACACACCTATCTCTCACTCTCCACCGTTCCTTCCCAAAAGCTTGATCCATCCATTTGTGTCATTGAAGTATTGGCATTGAAGGGCATTGAAGGGCATTGAAATTTTCACATTTTAGGTTAGTTTACACAGATTAGAATCTTCTCATTCCTATTTTATTTGTAATGTAGGGTTAATTTTTACCATTTTTGAAATTTTTAGTCCACCCCAATGTAAGTGATTGCCGTGTTTCATTCGGAACTGGTTATTCGAATTTTTTGTTTTTGTTCGGCATTAGAGTTCCGAAATTTCTGCTTCTATTCGGCACTATAGTTCCGAAAATATTTACTTCGTTCGGCTTTCAAGTGCCGAAAATAATTTTTTTTTTCGGTTTTCAACTTCCGAATAGTAGCTATAATTTCGGACAACAACTTCCGAACATAATAGGTATTTTCGGACAACAACTTCCGAACACAATTTTTTTTTTTTTTCCCTTCTAACACTTAATTAAAACACTTAATTATAACACTTAATTATAACACTCATTACACACACTCTCATTAATTTTACACACACTCTCTCATTATAATTTAAAACACTTATTATTTACACACACACTCATTACACACACTCTCATTAATTTTACACACATACTCATTACACACACACTTATAATTTAAAACACTCTCATTAATTTTATACACACTCTGTTTATTTACACACACACTCATTACACACACTTAGTATTTTTTGCAGATAATATGGATTCTGAATATCAACAACGTGTCCCACCTACTGCTTCAAATAGACGACGTCGTGAATTGGATGTAGACCATGAACGGGGACGAGGGCGTGGGCAAGGACAAGATCAAGGTCGTGGTCGAGGTCGTGATCCAGTTTCGGTAGAATATGATATTCCCAGTGCCAGTCAAAGTGGGGGCCGAAGCCAAAGACAAGTTGAAGGTTATGATATGCCTGACATTGCTATGGAGGATACCTCTTTACCTGATTCTCCTCCTGTCCAGAAAGAGTACCTTACTCATGCTTTTCCAGGTGGACCGACTGATCCGTCAATACTGCGGAGTTTCAATAGTCATGTGGCTGCAGCTATTTGGCACGGGGAGGTAAACATTCCTCAGTAAAACTGAAATTCATTTGTATATGAGTTTTTTTTTTTTTTTTTTTTGTGTGTTGTGTGGTAGTTTGTAATGAGATTTCATTTGTGTTGTAAGAACGATGGCCTAAAGTGTCATAATCACTCTTCCAAGATCCTTGCATGGCCATGGTGGTTAGTAGAGAACAACACCAGATTCAAAGCCATTATTGAGCAGTCTGGACTGTCACAGTTAGCTCGTTGCAATTATCGGTTCGTCAACAAGCTTCTAATCTCATGTTTTGTTGAGAGATGGCAACCTGAGACGAAAACATTTCACATGACAGTTGGTGAGATGACCTTGACCCTGGATGATGTTGGCACTATTCTTAGCCTTCCCATTGTAGGCAAATCAGTCAGCATACCAGATGTGACAGATCATCATGGAGTTACATTACTCGTTTATGGCTTGGGGATTACTGAACTTGCAGCACATGAAGAGGTTTCTTCTGCTGGTGGCAATTCCGTCAGGCTTGAATGGTTGCGAAGTCAGTTTGCTGGTGTCACAGATTCAGACCCCGAGGAGGCTATACAATGCGCTGCAAGAGCTTATTTATTGTTTCTGTTGGGATGTACACTCTTCAATGACAAGAGTGGTGGCAGGGTTCCCATTGTTTACCTCGTCTTGTTGATGGATTTGGGATCCATATATACTTATGCCTGGGGTGCTGCTGCATTAGCATTTTTATATCGACAGTTAGGGTTTGCTAGCCGGTCTGGGGTTAAGCAGATGGGTGGTTATATGACTCTTTTGGAGGCGTGGATTTATGAGCACTTCCGAGCATTCCGACCTCATCAGAACATGGGCTACAATGAAGACATGCCACATGTGTACCATTGGGCATCTAGGAGAGAGGCGGGTTCCTCCATTGACCATTTGAAATCTTTTCAAGCCGAGCTTGACAGTTTAGTAGCTACTGATGTAAGTTTACTCATCCTGCGATAATTTTAACACTTCCATTTATCTTACCCTTTATGTACTTTAATGCAAAAACACTTTACGTTTACAGGTTATTTGGGATCCATACCACAGCTGCAGAGACCGGCATCCATGTAACCTGGTTACGTTCTACCATGGATGCTTAAAGTGCTTAGACGTTGTCGAACCCTATCATCCAGATAGAGTTTTGAGGCAGTTTGGCAGGGTTCAAACCATCCCAGATGCACCGCTAGCTCCCAGTCGTGGTGCACAAGACAACATATCTGCACGATATACCGTCATGTATAGATACTTGGATAGGATCTGGGAGGCTTGGGATAACCACGTGTTGTCTGAGCAACGGAGGAGCACACCAGTTCGTCAGCCTTGGCAATGTGTACCGGGTTACATGGATTGGTATAAGAATATCACGCACCTATATGTCGAGCACACTGATGAACCGCGTAGCCATGACCATCAGGATTTCAGCGAACATGCGGATGTAATCTATTATCCTCTCTGATGCATATGTAACTTACTTTTTTTTTCTGATATGTTCCCTAAAATGTGATATTCTTTTCAAATGCAGCGTATTGCACATGCACTGCAGATTTCACATCCTATTATTGACGCTGGTTATCAGGAGGGGATTCGCCATCCTTATCGACTTTACCAGGCTATCGAGAGTATGACACATGTTCTTGAAGGTCAGCACATTGACGAAGCTGGACCTAGCTCTGCTGGACCTAGTTCTGCTGGAGGTCGCTTTCCATCTTCGACATTGACATACAATCGTAGGCCTAGGCGTAGGCATACAGCTGATTCGTGACATGTTATGTTGTTACATGTTATTTTGTTAGTTGATGAATATTGTTTGGTGTTTTTTGTAAGATGACATTGTTGTAATGGTAACAGTGGTTAATATTTTCTTATTAGAATGGAATGGCAACAATGGTATTGTAATGACATTGTAATGACATTTTATTATTAGAATGGAATGGTAACAATGGTCGTTGATTTTGTAAATGATATTTTCTTATTACAACAATGGTCGATAAACATTCAATCCACATTGCAAAACATAACACATCAACATAAAAAACACATCCATTAATTTCTTCCATAATTCTAACATTGTCAAATGCATACATGTGTCATGCGACATCAACAACATCAAAAGTCTCTCGAGTAGCTACATTATCATGAATAATGTCCTTGAAATGTTGAATGCGACACACATATGCATCATCCCAGTCCACAGCGCAAGGGTGACGGTATTTTCTCCAATTAGTGGCAATAGGAGGAACTGGATGGCCTGGCTGCAACAAAACCTGCACCACATATCAATTGACTTAGTGGTCATACCTCATAACTTCTTCTACATGCATAAACGCAATTGATAAGTTTCTGTTATACCTGCACGAAATGATTTCCGTTGACAAACCCAATGGCAATCTCACGTCTATCAAGTTGAGGTACTGGCACGGTTCTAAGAGGTAAAAAGGTGAATCTACTTGATCAGTTATTTGATCAGCTGTTTGATCATCCATGTGATCATCTATGTGATCGTCTTCATGATCATCTATTTCTTTCATGGAACTCGGAACCCTGTCTTGGGGACGGTACGGAAATACATCTTCAAAGAAAGATGAACTTCTAGATTCTATGATAGTATTCTTGTGTATATCTGAAATATCAGACTTGTGCACAAGAAATCTGTATGCACTACTATTTTGTGCATAACCAATGAAAATACAGTCCACGATTTTCGAACCTATCCTAACCCGCTTGGGTGTAGGTACCGCCACTTTTGCAAGACACCCCCACATTCGTAGGTATTTATATGAAGGCTTGTGATCTTTCCACAACTCATATGGAGTCTTGTCCACTTTCTTCCGTGGTATTCTATTAAGAATATAATTCGCAGAGAGAATTGCTTCCCCCCCATAAGTTCTGTGGTAACCCAGAACTTATCAACATTGCATTCATCATCTCTTTTAGCGTCCTGTTCTTCCGCTCAGCAACACCATTTGACTGAGGCGAATAAGGCGCTGTGGTTTGGTGAATAATCCCAAATTGAGCACAAGTCTCGGCAAACGGGGATTCATACTCACCACCACGATCACTTCTCAATGCCTTGATTTTCCGGCTTAATTGATTCTCAACTTCATTCTTAAAAAGAATAAATTTATCAATAGCCTCGTCTTTGCTTTTAAGCAAATACATATAACAATATTTAGTGCAATCATCAACAAAAGTGATGAAATACTTGTTGCCACCACGTGATTGTACAACTTTCAAGTCACATGCATCATTATGCACTAAACCCAAAGGCTGGGTACTTCTTTCAATAGAATGAAAAGAAGACCTTGTCAATTTTGCTTCTACACAAGTTTCACACTTGTGTTGTGGATTAATCTTGAAAGATGGTATGTGATCTAACTTGATTAATCTACGTAAAGAGTCAAAATTTATATGACCCAATCTACCATGCCCTAAATTAGGGGACTCAAGCATATAAGCAGAAGAATAAGCTTTCTCATTAATCTTAGGGATAAGTGTCATTACATTCAATTTAAACATACCACCTGACATATATCCATTCCCCACATAGACCCCGCCCTTGGTCAACACGACCTTGTCTGATTCAAACACCATGCGGAAGCCATGCTTGCCTAGGAAAGACCCCGAGACAAGGTTCTTACAAATGTCCGGCACAAAAAAGACATCGTTCAAAGTCAGTTCTTTTCCTGAAGTCACCTTCAGGATCACCTTGCCTTTACCCTCAACAACTGAGGTTGCAGAGTTTCCCATAAACAACTTCTCCCCGTTTGAAACCGGTTCGAAAGTTGTGAATATTCTCTTCTCTGCACAAATATAGCGAGTGGCCCCAATGTCCACCCACCACTCCCTCGGGTTTGACCCCACCATGTTCACTTTTGACACGATGGCTGACAGATGCATGTCGTCCACATCGTGTGACAATTCCTCTATTTCAGCCATATGTGCTCGGTTTTTGTGTTGGGGAGGGTTTTTCCTGTAGGGCTTCTTCTTCAGACAATTAACTGCCCGATGCCTGTCACTTCCACAGTTGAAGCATTTGCCATTGAACCTAAAAGTAGGCTCCTTTGGCTTGTAGGCTGGCCTTTTGGAGATTCCTCCTCTAGCCCCCAACTTTGAGTTTTTGCCTGTCGGTGGTTTTTTCCTCGCCCCCGAGGACTCGCCATGCTCAACCATGTTGGCTTTGACAGTGGAGGTACTCCCTCATTTCTTCTTGTTGTCCTCTTCAATCCGGAGCCTATCAACGAGCTCTTCGACTGTCATCTCCTTTCGTTTGTGCTTCAAGTAGTTCTTGAAGTCTTTCAAGCCATTAGGCAGCTTCTCAATCAAAGCAGCTGCCTGGAATGACTCACTTAGGACCATCCCTTCTGCATGTATCTCGTGCAGAATCACTTGGAACTCTTGGACTTGACTCAGGACAGTTTTAGAGTCCATCATCTTGAAGTCCAGGAACCGGCCGACGATAAATTTCTTTACCCCAGCATCCTCGGTCTTATACTTTTTGTCCAAGGCATCCCACAACTCCTTAGCCGATTTCTTGGCATAGAATACGTTGAAAAGTGGATCCGCCAAGCCGTTCAGAATGTAATTCCGGCATAAGAAGTCTTCTTGTTTCCAAGCGTCCAGAGCCATGAGCTTTTGTTTATCTTGCTCATTCTCCTCTACGGCTGGTACATCTTCACTCAGAAACCTCGCAAGGCTTAGAGTAGTCAAATAAAACAGCATCTTCTACTGCCATCTCTTGAAATTCACTCCCGTGAACTTCTCCGGGCGCTCGTGATGATTGAGCGGTCCTCCCAGAACAGCTGGAGTAACAACAGGAGGATTGACCACAGAGATCACAGCAGGGGTTGGCAAGCCAGTCGCCCCGGGGTTCGGATCCCCACCAACATTAGCACCAGCAGTAGCAGCATCAGAGACAGTTGCCATTTTTGAAAAATTACAGCAGAATTTTCACTATTCTGTATTTCCAGAAATCGAACTTAACACTAGAAAATTCTACAATTGGAAATTTAATTCAAAACTAGTCTCACCACGCAACCTAGAATCGAACATGGTCAGGAAAGTTTCCAGGAAGACTGGAGGCGTCACACCGGTCCCACTTAAAACCCAGTTAACCATTTGACAAAACATTCAAGAGCATGTTGACTCCTAGTCCATGGGAAACAACTTTAAGAATTAAATTTTCCAAGGCGTATGAATGTCCCTCGAGGTGCTCCGCAGGTGGATGATTATGCAATCCGCATACTACGGTCAATGTCCATTCATCATGTGTGGTAAACCTGTGAGCCCTCATATCAAAAAGACAACCACACTTCTTCGTACCGGTTATTCTTGATGTATTGTTGCCATTATGTTTTAACTTCTTTGTTGCTCTATATTGGCCACTCCTCTCACAAGCAAGATACATCCTGGGTCTTTTTTTCCCTCCACCATAGTCTGATGTTTTGATTACAATGACCAAACCATTTCTCTTTCCAACTTCACGTACCCAGTTGAGCAATTCATCCTTACTTTTGAATACCTACAAAGTTAAATAAATATTATCAAACATTTACATTTGGTGAGCAATTCGAAACATAATCGTTATAATTTCGTAGACTGAACCTGTTCAGTTGTGAATTGAGTGGTGTAATCTAACACAAAATCCACGCAAACCTGACTTCCTTGAGTTGACACATATTCCTGCATGTTTTGTATAATATTACAAATTTTTAATGGCATTATAAAGATTAATTTGAAATTTCAAACTGTAAATTTGGTATGCAGTTTGCAAATTTGGAATATAAAATGGAAAAAAAAAATTTACTTCATTTGGAAGTAGTTGTCCGAATTTTTTTTAAAATTTCGGAAGTTGAATGTTGTAAAAGTTAACTTTGTTCGGATAACAACTTCCGAATTTAAATACATTGTTCGGACAACAACTTCCGAAATTTATTCCTTTGTTCGGTCATCAACTTTCGAAAATACATAATTATTTCGGTAGTATATTTCCGAACCAAATAACACAATTCGGCTCTGGTTATCCGAACGACGCCGGGAAAAAAAAAATTCAACTCACATTTCCTTTGCTCTGCTTCACATGAACACTTATTTGCTGATTTTTAGAAGGCAAATCCTCCATAACAATGATGTTTTCCCTACGAATGACGAAGGTTGATGAACTTGGAAATGCCAAAGCCCTTTGGTTTCACTTCTAGCTCAATGAACATCATATACAGAAATTGATAGAAAGAGTGAAACCAATTTGGACAACCTTCGTCATTCACAAATTGATAGAAGAAGTGAAACCAATGGTGTCACTAGCTACACACACGATGCAACAAATGCAAACATTGCCCAAGAACTCTGAGGTGTGCATTGAGATGTTTTCAATTAACAATGGTGTCTAAAATAGTAATTTCACTTAGGGATAAAATTGTAATAAAATTATACCAAAACCTTCCGTCTTCATCTTTTTCGATTTGATTGGGAAGGAGGAATACCCAAAAAACCTATAGAAAGCTTTTTGGACAAATTTGTAAATTTCACATTACACAAACCCACATATGCCCCTAATATTGGTACGACACACGCGTGATTGGTGTACAATTATGTGATTAACATTGAAATGGGATCTATGGGTTCATCAAATAAAAGACTAGACTAAATGATTAACAAGATTTAAACTTGAGATTTATTGGTGTTTTACTCCTAACAATATCATTTTTCTACCCATTTAACTAACAAATGATTAATGAAAATGAGATTTAAGTATTAAATAAATTAAAACCTCAGAAAAGCTCAATATAATTATGTCAAAATTATAAGATTTATTGTATTTTTTCAAATCTCAAAACAGGTTAAGGGATTTTACTCTTTTATTTTGAGCCATGTTAATAAGTGTTCTTGGCAAATTGTTAAGAAATAATTAATGTCACTTTATGTTAATTACACGCAACCTCTTTCA